GCGAGCCCAACGGCCGCGCGAGCGGAGAGCGGGGGGCTGAGGTGGGGGGGGGGGATGACAAAAACGATAATAAAAAGAACCTCTTTGACTCGTTTTGGGGGAAAGCCGGTCGTGGGAGAAAGGAAGAAAGGAGAGGGTGGGGAAGGGAGTCGCTACCGCCCTTGAGGAGGAAGATGGGGGATTCACCGCTGCTTGGGCTGGGAGCAGCGCTCCGCGCCCCGAGCGGGCTCCCAGCGGGAGGAGGGGGCGTCTTCCTCCTCCATGAGGAGGTGGAATCCAGGCACAGCCCCACGGACACAAAATCCAGCTTTCTGGAGGGATTTAGCAGGGAAAAGGGGGGAGGAGGGCGCGGGAGGGGGCGACCTCGTTACAGAAAAGCAAATGATGACAAGCAATTTGCTCGCCTAAGCCATTGTCCCTAAGCTATCTCCTGCCACTTGTGCATTTCAAATCTCGAGTACCGCATTAACATGCGGGTTGGTGTCTGCTTAACAGATTATGTAGTTTATTCACAAAGCATTGTACAAAAATCTCCAACTGAAACCTCTTCCATGTAATATGAATTAAACTGCAGCAGCGTTTTTCAAGATACCTTTACTTCTGCGCACACATACACACACATACACACACAAAGGCAAAAGATGCAGTAAAGTGACTGAAATTAAATATTTGGAGGAAAAGAAATCCTAGTAGACTAGTAGCTGAACAGATTAGATTTTCTAACCCAAATGTCTGGATGTGGTATTTATCCTAATTGATTAAGATTTTTAAAAAAATCCCCATCAGTGACCTTTTCCCATATATAGGAAACTGAGGAGAACATTTAAGAATAAGGAAATATACTGTGGACCTCGAAATATTACTATGCAATTTGTATTTTATGGAATTAAATAGTTGCAGTTAAGTGGCTTTGTTCTGATCGTTGCAATGATATTTCTTTTTCAGTAAAACCAAGTCTTTTTTTCCCACATCAGCTCTTTGGGGTGAACTCATGATGAGCCTTCCCTGAAACGAGAAATAACAGAAACCAAGGGGGAAAACGACAGTCTGCAATGAAAATAGGGGTCTAGTGATACATGGGTGAAATAAATGCCAGTAAACTAACTACTAGCCCTTAAAGACAACTACAAAAGCATTTTTGTAAAAGCCTGAATAACCAGCCACGAAGATCCCAGTCTCTGGCAGCAGTATATAATACACAATTGTGCATGCAATGCTATGGGGCTTCCCTGGCTCATCAGTTTTTCTTGCAGGCTCTAATTAGACAACAATGACTTCAGCATAAAACATTTTTTGAGAATTAAAGACTGGCTAGTAGCAACTTTTAGCCCAAATATTAGTCACATATCAATAACTGCAGCTGGTTCATCAATTCCTGAAAAATATTTTATGGTGAGTTAAACAGTTCTAAATATTTCTGGGTTTAGTCCACTGGTTATATAACACACAATTCACTTCACACACATTCTCAATATTGCTATCGCTCACTGTTCCTGCATCTAGACTACTATATTTTAGATAAATATTGCATAATGTCTTCATTATGAAACATTGTAAACTGCCTTAGTCCAATAGATATTTCCTTATAAAAGGAAACACAACAGGAAAATTACAATTTCTGAAAAAATATCCAGAAACAGTCGTGTTTCATTTACAATTTTTAACTCTCAATCCTTAAAACTTGTCAGGAAACTTTATATAGTTTCTGTAACTTGCATCTTGTCAAACTATAAGAGAGTTTACCTCATTTTCAGGGAGGTAAACGCTCACATCAATTCAGAGTGAGCTGTTGATAGGACAGCTATTTTCCATGTTGTGATAGCTTAAAAAAACTGGACAAGCTAGAGGTTGTTCAAGTGGTTTTACCACTCATCGCACCAGTAGCTATGGGAAGGCCTGCAGGGCAGCCCGGCAGACCCTGGTGCATTCATTGCTGGTACCTCCCGGTGCCATCTGCCCTACGAACGCCGCTCTCCTGGAGCTCAGCGGCAGAGCCACGCAAGAGGGTTATTAAAACGCAGCCATGCCGGCAGAGCTCGGGCTATTTGTCATGGGGTGGGGAGATGTTTAGTTTTGATTTCATTACGTGTCTTCAGTACAAGAAGGACATTGAGCTTTTAGAGCGTCCAGGGCAGAGCCATGAAGATGATTTAAGGGACTGGAGCATTTGTCTCATGAGGAAAGACTAGGCGGGCTGGGCCTGTTTAGCCTGGAGGAAATAAGGCTGAGAGGAGATTTGATCAACATGTTCAAGTACCTGAGGGGTGATTGTATGGGGGATGGGGCCAGACTCTTCTCCCTGGTGGCCGGTGACAGGACGAGGGGTAATGGGTGTAAGCTGAAATACAGGAAGTTCCACCTCCATGTGAGGAAGAACTTCTTTACTGTGAGGGTGACAGAGCAGTGGAACAGGCTGCCCAGAGAGGTTGTGGAGTCTCCTTCTCTGGAGATCTTCAAAACCCACTTGGACGCAGTCCTGTGCCACGTGCTCTAGGTGACCCTGCGTGTGCAGGGGGATTGGACTAGATGATCTCTAGAGGTCCCTTCCAACCCTAAGCAATAGGTGATTCTGTGATTTCTGAACCCTCTTCTGACAGACCTTGCTTGAAATTAATTAAGAGAGAAAATTTGAGGTGTTCTTCTAATCCCAGAATGAAAACAGAAGCCTTCCAGTTTTAGCCTCGCTGTTTAGCCTAGGAGTCTTGAGAAGTGTTAGTCTGGAAAATATTTAGAAGTCATGGCTCCACTTTAAGGGGTTAGGCATCATCTCTGCAACCTGTAACCTGTGGTCTTTTTGGATGCATTGTTTTTTATCTGGAGACAGGTATCTATCTCCTAAAGACAAACTTGATGACTGTACTTACAAGGACAAATCCAGGAACTTTAATACAAAGATTCAACATCAGATGTAGAACATGAAAACTATTTAGAAAGTGCAACTCAAAAAAGTCCTGCATGAAAAGCCACAGATAAAATGAGGTTTGTTACAGGTTTGTTTTCTCTCTCATTAGCACTCAGCAAAAGTAGGAGGTATGTAATACTTTTGCTGTAGGGCCTACAGAATATTATTTCTTGGGCTGCTTTTGGAGAAAAATATGAACAAAAGCTACCCATCTTTAGGTGAGATAAAAGACTTATGTTTTTTATTTGCAGCTGGAGTTGAAGAGAGGAGGAGTGGCAGCTGTGGCTGCAATTCTCCCATCCTGGTCTGTACTGATGGGTTGCAAGGCCACTTCCTTGGCCCCAGAGAGTTCACGATAAGGCCCCGTCTCCAAATAGTATCCAAGTGTGGGCTGGAGCTTCATATAAGTAGTGTTATAAAAGTGCAGCCAAAACTCCAGAATTTTCTAATATGGGCTGACATTTCAAGGAAGTACCCTGTGTAACTGCAAGCCAATGGGAAGGACAGTCACCTCACTTGTCCTGTGCTTGTACCCAGAGAAATCTATTTGCCCATCACACCAAGGTGATAGGAATAGATGGGACAATGCAGGGAAGAGCAACAGCACTTACGGATGGAGTTTCTAAGCCTGCTACGACTTCCCTGAAGTCCCAGAAAATAGGTTACATTACAAATCACTGCCTGTTCCTCGGGAGTGGGAAGTAGGGGAAATCCCTCTGTGGCACGTAAATAATGGAGGGGAAACTCCACAACAGTTCCTGGAGATTTCTTTCCTGCTAGTGCTTCTACTGTAACAAGATCAAAATTCCCATCAACTTTAAGGGTGTTTTAAGTGAGAAAAAATGAATAAAAATAGTACAGCAGGGACTTGGGCAGAGTGACAGTTGTCCATTTAAGATTTTTATGGATCCTTGACATTTTATAACTTATGTCCAACTATACAAGAAATTTTTCCTTAAGTTCCTATGGAATTTTTGATGTTTCAGTTTCCGGCCATTTCCTATCAGTGGCCACCACTGAAAAGAGCCCATCCCCGTCCTCTGCACTCCCTCCCTTGAGGTATTTATATACACTGATTAGATCCCCTCTCAGCCTTCTCTTCTCCAGGCTGAACAGGCCCAGCTCCCTCAGCCTCTCCTCATAGGGCAGATGTTCCAGGCCCCTGATCATCCTT